AGATCCCTTTCTGCTGCTGTGCTGCTTAGGAAGTCATCTCCCAGTCTGTAAGTGTGTTGGAGATTCCTTTTCCCAAGGTGCAGTACCTTGCACTTATCTGTATTAAACTGCATCCTATTCTGCTCTTGAACAAAGATAAGTGGAAGGTACTGCACCAGGCTTGAAACGCGGGGATCACCAGGCTTGAAATACTGTTGACCCTGGTGGGGCCCTGCCCAATGAAATATATAGTAAATCATGAGCCTTTTGGCTTTAGACTAATCTCATGTATAGTTTGTACTATAAGTCGGTACAAAAGGGTTGCTTAAAAGTGTGTCTATGGAGTACTTGTATTAAAACTTGGAGCAGTTTCCAAAATAAAATGGATCAATTCCAGATGAACTAAATCTATGGGTACCTGTAGAAATGTGTCTATATGGTGAATTATGTTTCAAATTTCAAAGGTCAGTGCTTTCAATTTTTCCCCTCACTTCCATGTGCTTGGGGGGGGGCAGGGTCTACCAGAAGGGAAGGAAGGAACTGTAGGGGGAAGAAGGTCTTGGTGGGAGGAGGGTGGCAAAGGGGAAGGTGGCTATCTAAGCCCTGAGATATATTTTTCCTGCTGTAGCAGTGGGAGGGAGACAAACAAATTCAAGGGAAACCTTCAACAGTCAGAGTCTGTCTAGAAAATTATAACAAATGTATACATTTTCCATATATAGAATCAAATTATTGGGTGGGGGTCATCTTATATTCAGGGCCATCTTATATTTGAGTAAATATGATAATAGGCATCTTACTACTTCAATAAGTTGCTGATGATCACTTCCGATGACATAAAAATGAAAACAAATGAGTTCAACACTTGTGTTTGATTAGCTTTATGGCCTGATGCAGAATAATTTGGGAGATTTAATGCTTTATGATGAATACTGCAGTGAGTGAATTCAGCTTTAGACACCAAGGTTTCCCAGAACATCTCCATTCTCCAAGTCATTGATTGCACTCCATTTGCGTATACAATGCATTTCTACCACTCTGCATCATTTGCTGTGATGAATTAAGTCATGTTGTAAAACATGTCTTCTGTTTTACATCTTGATAGAGAAACCCTTTTGCTGTTAGTTCTGATTCAAACCTTACATATACAAGAAGCTGAGCAGAATTATTGATACCAGCACTTCCACCTAACTGCAATGAAAATCACTTAATCTGTTTTACTCTGTGAGAGCTGTGAAAGTCACACTGATTGTATGAATTTTTTCTAGTTTGAACAGTCCTTAAACTTACATAATATGACACTTCTAGTACATTTACATTTATGCAGGTGAAAGATGCTGCTGTTCTGTTTGGCTGTATTTCAGTTCTTAGCTTAGCTTTCTTCTAAATCAAAAGGTTTTTTTAGGGGGGGTTGTTTGTTAGTTTTAAGAGTCATGCTTTATATTGAAGTGACATTAAAGCAAGAAAAGTTTCAATGAATGATTGAATTTTAATTCATAGTGTATGACATACACAGATCCTAGTTCACCTTCTATACTGTTCACAGCAGGTCTAACTATGTAGTTGGCTTAATAATCTTGTGGTGGTGTTGTAGCAGAAAGCCCACCAGGGGTCCTTAAACCTGTTCAATTTTTCATAGTGGTCTTGATTCAGATTACTACCTGGGGGTGTGTACATGTGTGCTTTACTGCAGAGTTCACTAATTAGCTCTGCAGTAAAGTGTCACCATCTACACGTGCGCTGCTATTAGGGTGCAGTAGATTAATTAATTGTGCCATAAGATAATACTCTCGGGGACAGTACTATTTTACAGCTCACTTCTTGCGGCAAAACACATGTGTAAATGGTGACCAGGGCTGGCTGGGCATGAGGGTGCAAAAGTGCTGGGGCTGCCTGCTGTCTAGCTACACACTTCAGCACACTTGTGCCCCAGCCAGTCCCTCAGCCTCCTGAGGCTGGCACCCAGAGCCTGGGGCTGACCCCCGGAGCCCTCTGCCAGGCCAGGGCTACTCCTCCCCAGCTCAAACTGCTGTGGTCCTAGGCACAGCATCTGCACGTGTGCCCTGAACTGCAGCAGTTTGAGCATCTACATGTGCCATTAAGGTGCCGTGACAAACTCTGACGCAAACTGTGCTGGAGTTTATCACATTGCTTTGATGGCATGTGTAGATGCATCCTATTTTATCAACAGACTTAATCTCTGTTTTCTGTTGAAGCTACCACTAGTTAGCCAGTTCTCTATTGTCGAGGATAACTTTCATTCACAAATTCAAAACAGTTTCCATAACCACATACATAGAACAAGTAAGGTCCATAGCATTTGGACAAGTGGATGGAGAGTCAAGTTTTCCAAAACTCCACAAGTTTTCTGTTTGAGCCAAGAAGAGGACCAGGGTGTAAAGTGTATGTCTTTGGTCCCTGTTAAAGGTGGTCTGATAGTAAACTCATGCCTGACATAAATTTGAAGAGAATGGAGTTTGACAGGGGAAGTCTGAGTGGGAGAGTTACATTACAGGAGGTTAGAAGGTCAGGCTTTTGACCAGAGTGCTGTGAGCACTTGGGTGTGTGTAGAAAATGGCTGGGGAGAGGGGCTGCATTTGAAATGGACAGAGAGGTTGGGGGAGTCTTGGATGGGATTTTACATGGATATCAGATACCATCAGCTCCAGGAATCATTTTGCTCTTCAGCAGCTTTGGTCCTCTCTCAAGCAGGGCCCCTAGATGTATACAATGCTGGGCACCCTGCACAGACACTATCCCTGCTGAGAAGAGACTCAAATTGTAACCAGCCAGCTGCTCTTCTTTTGAAAAGCCAGCTGGATCTCCTTAGCCCTGTAGCCAGGTTTTTATACACTGGACCTAAACAGCTGTTCTACCCTGCTTTCCCCCCTCCCAGGCTTCTTTGTGGACACAGGAAGGAATTCCCAATACCTCCCTGTTTCCCAGCCTTGAAGAGGCAGACTGTGGCCTCTGCCTGGGAGTTGGTACAAAGAAAGCTCCTGCTCTGCAGTTGCTTCCTTTTTGGGGACTTTTTGGTTTTGGGGCATCTTGTGGATGCAGGTTTTGCAGTCACTCTGAAAGAAGGGTCTTTTTTCAGAGGTGGCATGATGTGGGACTCTGCGTTTACCTTTGTAACTTGAGCTGTGTGGCTTAGCACATGCCAAAAGCTAGTCCCAACAGAAAGCTAACCAGCTGTGTACCAAATAAGCACAGCACCCATCTGTACAGCCATATCACATAACACATCACTATATAAAACCACTATGCTGGCATGATCTGCCTGCATTATGTACCATTGTGGCTAAGAAGTGCATTGTGTTTCTTGGGCAGTGTGTATGACAACTGTTTTAAAATGAAAGATCTTTTAGCACACCACTTCCAACAAGCTCAGGTATCACCACTGGTACATGAACCACAGTTTGAGAAGCACTGATCTAACCTAATGTTGTTAGAGAAATGTTTCTGTATCAAAACAACAAGCGTGGTGAATGATCCAGTTAGATGCATTTTATTTTGTGATGTTTCCTTAACAAAAGAGGTTTTGTGTCCCCCTGTCCTCCTCCCCCCCTCACCCCCCCCAATGTATCTCTTTTTGGAACAGTCAAAAATGCATTCCTTGTATTGTGTCAGGCTCTGTCCTACCTCAGGCAGAGTTTCCATTGACTTCAAAGGAAGTTTTGCCTGAGGTAGAGCAGAAATATTGGGTCCAGGAATTAGTGTAATGTATCCCACCATTTGTATTGCTTTGGGGTAAATTGAAGCAGGAAGATATGACATTGTGTATGTCATGCTGAGCTGCTGCAATATCTCGGATGAGTTATTAGGCACAGAGCCAAAGGTTAAGTGCAGCAGCCACATGGGGTGTGGCATTATTCTTGTATGAGTCATACCAGAATCTTCTGATTATTTTGTATCCCCATGCACTGAGAATATTCAGTAGGATTTATTAAATGTTATTTTCAGAATATTCATAAACCACAGAAGAGTTTGTATAGGTGTAAATAATACCTATATTCTCTCAAATTTGATTCACGCATACCTATAGTCTCTCAAATTTGATTAGACTCTAGATTCAAATATTTCATAACAGAACCTATATGAGGCTATTCAGATCTGAATGTTTCAGCCCAGGTTCTTCTCTGATTTGCACAAATATATCTTTTGCTTTCTTGATATCCACACTATCTTTGCTTGACCTGCATCAGATAAAATGTTTCAGTAGAAAATGTTAGTCTAATATTTGTTTTATTTCTGCAGTCACTACCGTACATTTTGCATATCCAGTCAGATAAATTGCTTACCTGCTTATGTTTTCAGACCTTGGGAATAGCATTGGGAATTACTGGTAATTGTCAATGTACAGGCCTCTAATATTCAAAACCACAACCTACTCCCACCTTGCCCCACCCCCACAAAAATCTTGTGTGATTTTAACTTTACCTACAGTGTACTGGATACCCTCATCATCCATTGCCATAAATTAATGGATGAAGCTTTACTCTTGTATGAATGTTTAAGCAAGCTCATTAAGCTTTTGGAATAGCTGTAATATGAGCACTGTGGGAACTGTTCCCATTGACTCAATTTCTATGGATTGCCTTCACTGGCAGTCTCAGGATCGGGTCCCTACATTTTATTTCAGTATTAAATATACAAAGATTAGAAGAGGAGACAGAGAAACATAGTACAAACTGGATCTTGTAAGACTTCCTCAGGGGCGGGCACTTTATTAATATTCCAGATTAAAACAGAAACACAGATTGTTCTCTAGAAGATGAATGCATTTCACTCAGCTGATAGGTTATGCTTTTGTCCATTTTCTGTTAGTTGGTGTAGTGTTTGTAAGTGTAAGAGTTTATACAGTTGAATTACAATACAGTACAATTAATTTGAAGTGGGAAGGGAATGTCATAAAGGAAAAGCTTGACAGATTTTTTTATTATTGTTAATTGAACCATCTATTTTGGCTGTGACAGTCTATTTGATTTTTATTTCTTTTTATTTCTTGTTTTCTTGTAAAGGTTGGAAAAAGAAAGCATTCAGCACAGCTTTAACAGTGAGGCAAAGGGCCGAGCCCTTCAGGCCCGGCAAAGAGAGCAGGAGCTGACACAGAAGATGCAGCA